TCCTCTTGTCAGTCCTGGTTCTTCTTGCTCGTCTTAAGCTCCTCAGTTCAGTTCTGGTCCACCAGAGGCCTTCACCCCCTGAAGATCTGTCTCCTTTCTTGTCTGACAGTTTGAAATTATTCTGATGAACGTAATGAGCAGCAGACAGACAGTAAGAAGATGTTTGGATCGGATCCTCCAGAACTGAAAGGACCTGTTTGGTTTAATGAAGCTGCAAAACAAATACAGATTCTTCTGAGCTTCCATGAGTCCAGTTTTCTGATGTATTACCATTCAGACTGACAGTATCTCACCTCATGGGAGTTTCTCACGGATTATTGGATGTTAATCTGTGTGGTTGTCCCTCAGAGACCCCAAATCCTGATAGCAATGACCCAGATACAGCTCATAACTTTACGCTACAGCTTGCTAATTTATATTATAATCTGTAAATTCACGTTTCAGATCATTGCATAAAGTTACAGACCTATGGTCACTACACAGGCTGATCTGTTACTATTCATTAAGGTCTGTAACTTTACACAACGGTTTCTAACTTTATGTTAAGGTTAATAATTTTACGCTACAGTTCATAACTTTACGGTATGGTTTATAACTTTACACTACAGTTTGTAACTTTTTATCATGGTATGTAAATTTATGGTACGATTTGTTTGTAATCTAACGAACTGCTGTAATGTCACAAACATTACAGTTTGTGAATTTATGCAACATTTGTAACTTTATATCACAGTCTGTAACTTTATGTCACGGTTTGAAAATTTATTGTATGGTTTTACACTATAATTTGTAACTTTACACTGTAATTTGCATCTATGGTACGGTTTGTAATTTTACACTACAGTTTGTGTCTTTACGATTTGGTTTGTAACTTTAACTGTAACTATAATTTGTAAATTTATGTAATGGTTTGTAACTTTAAGCTACAGTTCGTAACTTTACAGTATGGTTTGTTTCTTTACACTCTAGTTTGTGAATTTACACTATGGTTTGTAAATTTGTGCAGTAGTTTGCATCTATGTTTTGGTTTTGTAACTTTACATTGCAGTTTTTACGTTTACGCTGTTTATAACTTTACGCTACAATGTGTAAATTTATGCTACAGCTAGTTTCTTTATGCTACAGTTTGGGAATTTATGCTATGGTTTATAACTTTACGCAACAGTTTGTGACTCTTTGTTTTGGTTTGTAACTTTACACTATGGTTTATAACTTTACACTACAATTTGTAAATTTATGCTACGGCTAGTTTCTTTACACTACAGTTTGTAACCTTACACTATAATTTGTAAATTT